ATATTCAGAAAGAGTATATCGCGTTTCTCGAAATTTCAATATACGAATAATAACAAAGAAATAATGTTATAGATCACAGACAAAAAGTTTGGATGCGGAAACCTAGGACAACATAAATAGAGTGGTACGACGCACCGTTACACTTCTACATCAAATAGATCCAAAAATATATTTTGACTTGTTAGATTTAATTCTCTAGGTTCTGTTGGTCCTTACTTTCGACCACCATATTTACACTTAAATATATAAACGTTACGCATACATGCGCATGCGCACGCGAAATTACACAAATCCACATTCCATGTGTCAATCGTAATGGTTCTTTTTTTTTGGGTTTATAATTTAATGGTGCCATAATAACCTAACAGTATACTTACCAGGCCCTCATAATATTTACTTATCAACGTTAACTTTCCACACTTTAATAAATGATTATTTTTTATGACAAAATCACAGTTTTTTTTTTCTTTTCTTTCACCTCTTTCCTTTCTAGTTTTTCTCTATTATCTTATTCGTTCTCTGCTGGATAATCAATGCAGTCGTAAAGTCACAAGCATTATTTATGTCATCTAATAATAGCACATCAATTTTAAAAATAACTAAACTGATTTCAAAAGCTTCGTAATAAAGAAAAACAACTGAACAAAGATATTTATCTTATTGTATTGTATTGTTTATACCACAAAATTATTATCTGTAATCAAATTGAAACGCATAGAGTGCAAACACCGACAATCTTTTGAGATCCATATATTTATAAAAAAAAGATGATGCTACGGTAAAAAATATTGATGTGTTGATAACTTAAAAAAAATTGTTAGTTAATTGTTAGTTAGTATAATACATTAATGTGCTTCGATTTGATTGAAAAAAAAAAAAATAGTTTGCGAGAAATATATAACATACATCTATAAAATTAAGCACACGTGTTTAGTAGCCCATACAGGCCAATAACCAATATTACGCCATTCCAACGAAATTACATACATACACTTCGAATTAATAACCTTTTTTTTTTGAAGTCTGCTAAAAATATTTACCCCTACCCTCCTCCCTATAACGAAATGAATACTCTGTCCTGAATGCTCCCATAAAGTTCTGTGATAAGTCTGTGAAAAATAATCTCGTTGCTGTCAGTAGCATTTTTACGGGGAACACTCACCTACCCGATTACAAACTTTGATTTATTACGTCTCCAGAATATCCGTTCCATTTAATAAAAGCAACATAGTTGTGTTACGAAGTGGGAATTTCAACCTTTAAGTGAAACTTTCTTAATCAAATTAACTTAGTTACAGTTTTACTGTCCAAATATCTTTAACTTGTTTAATATCGAAATGTTTACTTCAAACTACTTGCTATGTTAGAACTTGATAAGATTAAATATATCTACGTTAAGTCGAAAGTAAACGAGTTAGACTCGAGTTCAAAAACAGTTTACAATTCCTGACTTTTGACTTAAAATACGTATCTATTTTTTGTACACACAATGGCAAGTAACAAAAAAGTTAAGATAATCCTACAATCATTTTATTAGAGCTTTAAATATATATATGAGAAATATAACCCTTTTCATTAAGAATATAGTTTAGTATAGCATTGTGAATGCAAAATTAATCGAATATTATTAGATTAAAGCAAATTTTCATATTTATCGAAAGTTTAAATATTTTCAAAATATTTCTTACGGCTGTTTGGGTGGATTGATTGAACATAGATGAAAATACGCTCTATAGTAGCGTAAATGTAACAAGAGCTTGATAAATTCATCAGTCCTATTACGTCCTGGGTAGCTTGGTGGCTAGAGCAGTCGCCCGGATTGGAAAAGATAGCAAAGTGATAAGGGATAAGAAATATAACCCTTTATAATAAATAACCTGATATTCTGCCATACAGTCGGCAAAAGTCGGCATTAATACCATTTTGTCTTGTTCAATACAATTTTGTGTTCTTCTCCTACACTTCTCTATCAGTTGTCGTCACAACATTCATTTTATCCTGTCTTTACTCTTGTTCACCGTCATTGTTGTAATCATACTCAATGTTGAAAACTTTTTTAATCATATACACGTTCATCATATATCCACGAAAATATTCGGATACTTTTTGTATTTGTACGTGGTGTAGATTTTAATACTATGTATTTACGCATTGCCTACATTGCTCAATGTCAGTCGGTATTTAGTCTCGAAAGTTCGTCTGCGTCACTACCAAATGCACTCAAAGTCACTGTAGTTTCGTTAAAACAAAATCCAACCTCCATTTGAATGTGAACCAATATTTTTAACCTAATATACCGATGCAGGTATCCATCCGCCCCAAGCGTGTCCTGATTAAATTTCAGAGATGGCCGACAATAATCGAATATGCGCCCCTGGCATCCGTTAGGAATTTTTGATTTTGTTACAGCCTACCAGCGACCCGACCTAATAACGTTAAGTATTGTTATCGTTCTCAGTTACGTTTTCGCCGTCGAAGTTATGCTAGTTATTTTCAGTTCTTCAGCTGTTTTACTAATAAGTAGATTTCGATCTCGATATTTATCAGAATATTAAAAATAACAACAAAACACTTTACCCACTTATTTATTTTATTTTATTTTATTTGGAAAACATACAGTATCGATAAAACTAGTGTAGTTACTCAATATAGTATAAATGTACATAGTAAAATATAAAACAGCTACATTCCTATCCAATATTACTGAAAGTATTTTTACGGTTATTTATATGATGAAGTGAAGACTAATGTTTTCCAAAAATAACAATAAAAAAGAATTAATAAACCTATTAAAAACGGTTCGCTTAATAAAGCATAAAATAATTGCTGTATTCAGAAGCGACGTCTTTACCTTCAATGTCGATTAAACCCAACAAATAAACATATAAAATACTTGTCTTACTCTAAGATACTAAAAATATGTATATATCAAGCAGAAAGGAAAACTAATTCTATGTACATATCTAGATCAAAAAATATTTGCGAGTCGACGTGAGACGTAATTAAATATATTTTATAAACAAAGAAGATAAAAAGGACATTACAGAAATTAAATTTAATGACAATACATATATTAATGACCCATTATAAATAAGTGACAATTTCAATATATATTTTATTAATGAATCTAATGCAAATAATAAATTTATTGACACATACATACCAATCTGTTCAAATAGTATCTAACTATATAAAAAAAAAACACACACTCAACTACGCCAGTCTGTGGTGCAGGCTACTTGGACTAATGTAAGCCTTTGTTTAAAGCATTAAATGTATTACCACTTTCATATATATTTCCATATATATTTTTTAAATTGGAATATTTATTAAAAAACATTTCCATTTATTTAAACATAATAAAGATTTTGCACGTAGAAATAGGAAGGTAATTTACGTATTCCGATTCAAAGACGCGTTGTTAATTCGAAGAACTTATATTGTATGAGTTTACGCATTTCTAATAAATTACCGAACAATGTTACAAGTAATGATAATGTTATTAAATTCAATCCTATGTATTTAAATATTTAATGGACAAAAAGTATATTTCAATTTATGAATTCTTGCAAGATAAATCTCTTTTTTAATTATTGTATGAATCCTTTGATTACAATATGAACCTACCTGATATACTTTATATCTTTTTTTTCATGTCATTAAATTTTTGTTTTTTTTTTTCATATAAAATAAGACAATACAATGGTAAACCATTCTAAAATAATAAAACTACCCTGTACCAACCATAATTTCGCAAATAAAGATTATTATTAATCTAACTTTTCTTCTATCTAATAGCATACACCTTTATTTTTTATCTACAATATTTTCTTCATATTGTTTTAATAAACATAAGCAACAAAATTGTTTGTATAGATCCCGCCTCTGTTCAACCAATTTTCCAGAAAATATGGTATCATATATTAAAACCTACCCTTTTCTATATGAATTAATGATTTATAGTACCCTTGTCATAACGTACTTACCCCATTAACAAATTGTGTAGTCTAGTTTGCTTCCAATTTTCTAGTGTACGATAATTTACAGGCGATAAGGAAATTTTCATTAAATGTTCTGTGAACAAAGGCTTATCTTTAAAATTAAACTCTTGTTAGTTTTTCATTGAAAATCAAATACTTATGCGTTTTATTATCTTTCATTAAAAAAGGATAAAATCAATGTAGAAGTGGACTGAGGACTAAAAGGACAAATTGTTACTACTACTCGTACGAATTAACATGACACCTGAAGGACTATTCTATATAATTGAAAAATATATTCCATCTTATTTTCGAAATTGTAATACGGTTCTAAAGAAACACTTTTTCCATAATTTCCGATGCAACATAAGTAGAATCTGACACTGCCTCTGATGTGCAAATAATCTTCACCGATATAATTTTAACATAATTATAAGAACGATTCGAAATTTTCCGAATTTCCGTTAGAGAACAAATAGAATACGCTCTCAGGTGTCATGTTAATTCGAACGAGTAATATTTTAGTCGATGAGTGATATAAAATATAAGTACACTATTTTATAATTTAATATCAATGGTTTAAGTTTTTTGTGTGTTTCAAAACTTTGTCGACATAATTGTGTGTAGTTATAAATAATAAACGTTTTATCTATCTATCTAACTATCCATTTATTATTGTGACTCTTGCGAGCTCGAGTATATAGTGATTACGCGTTCAATCACGGAAGTAAGACTACTTACACAGAAGCCAGTCACTAGATAGGTGATTATTTTTATCGTCACAAGCTGCTTCGTGATTTTATTACTGACTAACTAAGGTACATACTTCAGCTTAAACTGGACCTTTTGGAGTAACCTAGCCGTGCACTTTTAACCGAAAATTAAACTACGTGTAAATTGTTTTATTATCTGTCCTGCTCCAATTTACGTATTTTAAGGGCATAGAGTAGGACAGAGCAAGAATATGGCTATATTGAGTAAATCAATTGGTTAATTGATGATTTTTTTCTTTTGTTACAGACTGGGAAACACTTTCACAGAACTTCACTTCTCATCAAAGCTTTCAATCATAAGTTTAGACTGGACCTTGAGCTTAACACGTGAGTACATAGTGTATAGTATTATTATGTCTATCATAGTACTAAGTCGTATCGTTGTTAATTAGATAGGATAATTAATAACGATGTACGTCGTTACACCTTACGTGTCATGTCAAAACATAAATTGTATAATTTAAAGTTACAATTTAATACATAATATGATGATAATAGCAGAAGATATTGTTTTCAATACATGTCTTTATTATAAAGAAAATGGTAGTATCATTAGCATTTGATTTTATAGTAGATCGTTATTTATCAGGAGCTTGAATTTTTATATAGACTAATCAAGGTTTCTAATAATTTGTGCCCGACCTAATATTTTGTTAATGGACCCTCCATTAACAAACTGTGTAATATTATTTTATGTTACCTATGGAAACAAGAAACTAATTGAGTGTTGAAAAAGAAAGATCGTATTTTTAAAGAAAATTAGTTCAACATGATAATTGTTATGTTAAATTAATTTGTTTTTTAAATTTAAGTTTCTGTAGCTTTTGGTATCCACAATTCTTAAGAGGTTACATAAATCAAAAAGACTAATTTAAAATTAAATATGAACAATCGAATATAAAGTGCGAAAAAGATCAATAATATATATTTTATTGATGAATGAATGAAAACTTTACAAAGTCGCATACGTTACATTTTACTTTCGATCTTCAAGCATGAAACTGGAGGACACAGCAAGTCGAAAGTATTCTTTATATTTTTTTATTCAAAAAATTAAGTTTTTCTCTACTGACAAGCGGCTAATGATCTTTAAAAGCTTCCTTTATCTTCTAAAATTAAATTTAGTCGAAGTTTTACTTTTTATTGACTTTGTCACAATTTTTTAAAAGTTTTTATATAAAGATGGAACTTAATTTTCATTTTTTTATTATGTTCAATCGTTAAATTCTTTCCATTATCATCAGGAGATCGCTATTGTCAAAAAGTTTGATTTATGAGGGTTATAAATAATAAAAAGATAAAGTAGTGGCTCTATGGCGCAGTGATCGGCGCGCTCGGTCTGCGATATGCTTGTAATGGCCGGTCATAGGATGGGTGACTAAAGATTTATTATATCAACGTGGTCCGTTCTTCGGAAGGCATTTTAAGCTGTAGGTCCCGGCTGCATCCATCTTAAATACCTACCATTACGCACTGGGTCCGCGTGGTGGGTCATGGCCCATTCGCCCTATTAGATTGATCCAATTCCATCGATAGGGAAGCCTGATCACAGCAGTATATACAGGGTAGTAAACTTAATTTGAGAATATAAACTTAGATCCATCTGCGATTTACTTATTGTCTTTCAATTGGAGTGTGAATTTACAAGAACCTCTCTATACCACGATTACGATTGATATAATAATGATATAACGGCGGGTAGTCCGAATGGGCTATTGCGAAGCCCAAATAGATGGTCCATATCGGAGGACTATCTTTAAAATAACACTGCAGGCGTGGTATACCAACGTGGATTTGTTCCATTTATCACTTTTCATACGAAAATATAACGAGATGAGCGTGATGTCATCGGATGTCTTTACTTCTCGGCGATTGGAAACAGAATGTGTGCCAAAATGGCGGCAACTTGGTTTTTATAAACGAACTGTCAAAGTCAGTGTCACCATTCTAATAAAGTTAAAAGTATCGATGATCACGCTCTCTTTACAATCGAGTAATTAAGTAATCGAGTAACTAGCAATTAAAATAAAAGAAACTAAATCAAACGATCTTCGTAATGATGATATTTTTATACACACATATTTTTATAATAATATAATCGTTTGCAAGTAATTAATCAAAATACTTTTACTCTATCTCTATTGTCTTTATCTATCTCGTTGCCTGTGTTTATCAAAAATAACTTCTAAGAAATCTTATTATAGAGACCCAAATTATAAAAAAAATAAAAATGTTTGAACTGAAGATGTTTCAGAAATTATTTCTGCCGTGAAATAATTGAACCTTTTATGAGACACGATTTAGTTAATGATTTATCATTTCTAATTTACCTCCTAAAATATGCCTCCAAGTTTAAAATTAATTTATTGATGTTGCAAAACTCATGTATACCATAATTTAACTTCATTGAATTATAATCCCACTAATAGCTGTGGTAGAAAGAAAGACAACCGATGAATCTTATAACTAATCCGTATTTCCTATTGAGGATTTGAACCGTAAAAAAGGCTTCAAATACAAAATCGAATCACAATTTTTTGAAATGAATCAAGAAATTTACGTAGTAGACTCCAAGGTTAGCCAAAAAATTAATAACTTTTGCGCTATGTTGATATGATATCTGTATTGGTATTATATTTATTATACTTAAAATTTCCTGTGTGTGTGATACGAATTACTGTTTTGTTGTATGATTATAATATTTTATTCTTTTTGGGGAGCTTATACCATTATTCACAATATGATAATATCTATATATATTATATAACTTATAAGCTGATTATAAGTTTCCGCATATATGAGTGTCTAAATCTACAAATATCTAAATTAGTATATGAAAGCCATTAAAAAGGAAAACACGAAATAGTTTTGCATCAGGGAAATCCTGGAGTTATCACAAAAATCACGTCCCGTACGCTCCGCAGCTCACAATGATGTATCTGTCCCTCTCCTACTTATATATCACTTTTATTTCTCACAGCCGTCCCACTCTCACGTCTAACTTCCATAACTTATTCGTTTATGGTGCCCTGGTATCCTTATATTTCGTTTATAGCCGAAAAACTGTTTTTGAATAGTTTCAGTTTGTTAGATTTATTTGTTCGTTTTGATTCTAAGCGAGAAGTTGCGCTTACTAAACTTTTGTATAATAACAAAACAAACCCAAACTCGTAACATTAAAGTTGTGGTTTAAATTGAAATCATTTTTGATAATAACCACCAGTTTCACGTTAACTATGACGACGGTGTTTGCATTTGATTTAAGTTTAAATTTCAGCTAATTAGGGCGGTGCGTGTTAAGTTATTATATTATTTCGTTTTAAGTGACTCTACTCATTCCTGAGATAATAAAACTTGGTGTCATCCAAACAAAACAGAAATATTTCTCGATATGTCAAATACCTTTTTTATATTCTGTAGATACTGTTTAGAAATTATTAAGTAAATTATTCATACTTCAACAAAGCAACATGGCTACGTTTCACACAGTTTTTATGAAAATATAACTTTTTTTCAGTAAATAGACTTTTTTATTAGATCAAGGTATACTATTTTGTTTCATAATTTCAGCTCCTTATGAGCCCCGTCGTACTTTGATTGAGATGTATCATTACCAGTGGTCGGAATTAGGTAGAGTTATTCATGTACTTACACTGATTTCATACAGCGAAAGAATAAAGTGGATATGCCTCAAATCCCGAGATTAATTTTAAAGATCAGAAAAAATCCCGTGATTTTTTAAATAAAAAGTTATTAACTTTTATACAATTTAAACTACTGCACGCACGACGTTGCCAAACTTACATCAATGAAAGAAAGAAATAAAGAAAAATGAAATAAAGAAATCCCGGGAAGGTCCACATTCATATCAACATTTCGATGCAAGTACGTAAATAACTCTACCTAATTCCGACCTCTGATCATTACTAAAGAATTTCCATACTTATCGATACTCATAAATATAATTATAGCACGCATTAATTTTATCTTTAAAATTCTTAATATTAGTTTGTTCGACTGCTTTTTATTTGTCTATCATTCAAATTGGAAAACTAATAAAACAACATCGATTAAGAAAGTGATACAAGAAGAACTTTGTGTATAAGTTAAAATCTATTTTATTAACTGTTAAGTAAAAGCTCATTTTCTGGATTGACTCATGGGAGGATCGAAACGGGGTTCCCGTTTAGCAAATACTGCTGATCTTACCTAACCCTAAATTATCAGGCAATATTGTATTTTATGTACACTAGTCGTAGATTCCATTTTTTTCATGTCGACAATAAAAAAAATATATGTCTTGTTTGTTTATTATATATTGTATAATTTGTACATTTTCCTTATACTAACTGGAGGTTTATTTTGACTGTTACTGGGGCATTCACTTGGATTATTGAACCTTATGTAATTCTTATAAGGTTTTTTATGACTCACACCATCCTTAGGTTCCCAGGATTATTTACTAGGGCAATAAAAAGTAACACTAATTGAAAGATCAACAGTCAGTCAATTTCAAAGGCCACTACAGAATCCTAAAAATCCGAGAATATAAAGTTGAATAATTCGAACAATTCATATTAACAAAAGTGAAAATAAATATAGTACTCTAATTTGCTGCATAAACTTATACATAGGATCGTAATTATGACATGGACATACATGCAGACAAAATTATAGGTACATACACACCTACACTTACATTTACCCCACGTGTAAGATACCCTTATAGACTAACACATATGAATAACTAAAAGAATTACGTACATATAATTAACCTTCTTTTATTATGGGTTAGGTAACATTAACTCATAATTATGAAGTACAAAAACATGAAACACTAATCAAGGAAGCCGGCAAAGCTGTCGTCAACAAACTGTTTGTAAAACTCGTGAAATCTTTCACAATAACACAGTGGATTTTTTCCTGGCTAAATTAAAAATCCTTAGTTAATATGCTGTCCGTTTGTTTTTAAAAAAGAGAAAATTTTCGTACAATTACGAAAGCAACAAAAATGTGATTGGAGCACAAAGAGTGCGCCCGGGCGGGCGGGCGTCACGGGCGTGTTTACGCGGCGGGCGCGTTTTGTTTGTTTGCGCAACGCTTTTAATGAAGTTGTCGCCAAGCCGGGCGTGCGAGCGTACATGTAATAGGCCGTGGTGCAAGTGATGAGAGATAGACGACATCACATTCCTAACGATAACAATAGATGGCGTTGTCTTTGCTGTTTGTTTACCTTAAGGTTGATTGACCTGAGCCAAAGGAATCTAACAAAACGGACGGTTCATCTTCATGAATGTGTACACCGAATTATTACTAATTGTGAACTA